CCCACCTCAAAGCCAACGCTGATTGGATGTTCGTTTGGTGAACTGCTCCAAATTTTCTTTAACTGAGTGTCTCCAGACGGATCTGCGAGTGAAAGCTGGCGAGATCAGGATGGTCTCACAAGGCTATCACTGATATGCTCCAACAACGAATCTGGGAATTTATGAAACATAATCATAACCCCAGCAGAATGTGAGGTACCATGATTGAAATAAATTTGGTCACCCCATTGAAGTTTCAGAATTTAGCATCCTCATTGGATGAATGAGTTTCCTGCAGAAAAAAAAAAAAATTTGCCTTTTGCTCTTTACAATAAAGAAAAGTAGCCTTAGGCTTTACATTATTTTTTAAACCCCTAGCATTAAGTGAAAGTAAATACAACATGAAATAAACACAGTAGTTGTGCAAAAACTAAGCTCAGGAACGATGAGCAGGAATGAGATAATAGCCAACAACAATTTTTTTTTTTTTTAAGTGCAATAGCCCTTTTAACAAATACAACCAGAGTATGCAATACCAGTGGCAATAAACGCTGTGTTTTCTTTTTTGAGAAGGTTAACTGAAGCTCTGCTATGGCTTTCTTATTTACATCAATGGTGACAGTATTTGCTTCAATACGTTTTTCAATACCTTTCAAAATTTCAGTGTGATTGTCCATCTTTGTGTTAAGTTCTCCTATCCTCTCGAAGAACAGCGTTCGCTGAGTCCTCCTTACATTCAATCTCCTGTAGCTTTATTTTTTTCTTATTTTTATTCTTAATGGGTGTATGATCCCAGTTTACGTTCTGATCTTTACAAGAAGGATCCGCTGTGGCCCCGACCAGCTCCATTTCTTCAATAATATCTTTGTCGCAAGCCTCTTGAAGAGCCGCCTGGTTGTAGTTGTGGTTAGACATACGTGCATCCATATACAAATTCACGGACGGTGAAAAAATAAAACTTAAAAAACTGGAAGGTTGAAATGGTTTCAAAAAGATGTTAAACTAAGGACAAGAAACAGTAAGACGATTTCAAGCAGGGGCTTAAGCACAAAAATTGTGTTAAAATTTTTCTAATAGAAGACTGTATGCCAGTGCCTGCAAAAACATCACCTCTCACTCTGCCATCTTGGGACCTCTCGATACCGAGCATTTATCGGACCCGTCCTTCAAATCGGGCAAAAAGAAGGATGCATTTTAAGGCTGCATAATGAGCAGTCTTGGAATCTGACCAGACCTTGGCGCCGCGCTATGACGTAATCGTCCTTCGAATCTGGCCTTCTAAGGACGCATTCCATAAATTCGAACATGGCCACTATCTCCTTTCTGACAAGGTGAAGGAAATTACAATTAAACTCATTCACAGGATTTATCCAGCCAAAGACTACCTTAAAAAATTCAAATCTGATATTATTGTGAACTGCATTTTTTGTGACCTTTTTCCAGAATCGGTTACACATTTGTTTTGATTGTAACTATTTGGACTCAAATATTTTAAAAGTTTAATTTTAATTTTCAAGCTCGTTGGGAAAACATTCTCTTTGGTTTTCAGCAGCAAGCTAAAATGTTTCTCAAACCTTTCCTTATCAATCTGTTAACTATCTTGGCTAAATTTAATTTAAAGTTCTAAAAAAATGTCAGGCTTTAATGTTTATTTACTTGAACTTAAAACATTTTAGTACTATTAAACCCTCTTCTCATCAAAAGGCACAACAAATAATTTCAAGTTGTTCCCATCTAAAAATTCTGGACAATTTATCGATGTAGAAAATATGAGTATTTCTACAATATATGTTTGTACCGTATATGTGGTTATATACATTAAAATTTATATGATTCTCCTAAACAGATATGTTTGCAATTTTGTTTGTCTTTATTCCTGACTGTACTTGTTTATTTTATTATATTATTATACCACCTGGCATATCAATTTGTTTATCTGTATATTTTATATTTTATTGTTTACTTTAAATGAAATAAACAAATAAAAAAAATCCGACCACACCTCGGCGCCGCGTTATGACGTCATCGGTCTGCGATTCTGCCTTAGGAGAAGGTAGTAGCGCATGAATTCGAATCAGCGTAGAATAAACCGTACCTCTTGAAAACCAGCAAAAATAAGGCTGCAGTTGTCAAACGCATAACGAGGAGTCTTTAATCCGAACAGGCCTCGGCGCTGCGCAGCTCCTGAATTGGAACTTAGCAGAGCTCTATGGGTATTACAAGCATGGCGACAGCAATACATCCGGAAACGGGCAAGCTGGGGTTGTATCCTTTTAACATTCGGACTTTAATGATCAGGCGCCGGATTGTTTAATGGTTTATCTAACATTGCTATACCGAGTTCTTGCAGGTTTTATCATCGGTTCGTTTGGGGTTTTTATACGTGTATAAAAAAAAAAAAAAGAAACAGAAGGTTTGGTCTGTTTCTGAGTGGAAGAGTTGTTTTCACTTTCTAACAGAATAAACTTTTCCTATTTTAAGTCATCTACATTATTTCTATTCGATCAATGATATAATATTTTTTTCTGCAATGTTGAATTAGCATTTTAATGTCAGGTACATTAAGATTATTATGCCTTGCACTAATGTAAAGGAGGTTTATTTTGGCTAGAGAGCAAAACTACAGTTTAGTCGTTTCTCGATGGATTGTTTCTAATTACTATAAAAACTGATGGGACACATCGAAAGGTATTAATATGTATGCATATATATATTCGTGTGTGTGTGTCTGTGCAGCAGCAACAAGAGGCAGAGCCACTGGAGATCATTTTGAACAGGGGTTACTGTGACTTTTTTTATTTTTTATTTATTTATACACAAAAGTCCTATGAGTCTATAGGCCTATTTAAGATGCAATAAAAAATAAATAAGTAAATAGATTGAGATTCACTACTTTATTGTGATATATACTTCAGTGCACCCAAACAGGATGATTAACACTCAGACATCATCAGTTCTCAGGTAAATA